CCTTTTTACCCTGAAGAGGGGTGGTTTCCCCCTTTTCTTTCATGACTGACTACGCCCCCGGACTAGTCACTGGTAATACCCCCCCGTCCGGGGACCTGTTTCCCCCTGGAGCACTCGGTGGGATCCTACCGAAGGCCTGAATTCCACCAAATTTTCCCAGCACAGCGAATTAGTGATACTTACGATCACCCGAAGCGCATCAAGTGGCGTCAACGAGAACACCCCCCACTCCCACAGCGCAATTTTGTGATACGACCACCCAAGTGTTTGTGGTAACCAGCTAAGTGTTTTAAATTCCCGACCCCCACTCGCACCGCAATTTTTTTGTTCTCATCACCCCGGTTTGGCGGCCACACCACACAAGAGAAAGTGGCTTTTTTCTCCCCCACACAGTACTAACACAAGCAAAACAAAAAAGAGGGGTTCTCGGGTGTTACTTAGGGTCCTGGTTTCCCGGAAAGCTGCTAACGCCTTTAGGAAATTTGTGTAAAGAAAAAAACTTTCCTAATACCACAGAAAAAACCTTTTTCAACCTAAAAAAAAAAATGTTAAAAAAAGGACAAAGTGGGAAACCTTATAAAAAAAACGGGACGTGTCACATAAAACAAAAACACAGAGGTGAAAACCAAAAAACGCGCCAAGAATAAACCCCGCTGACTGGAAAATCAATCCATCACGCCGCTAAAAAAGATCTGCGCTACACACCATCTTCACTGCAACCCCAAAACCGTTTACACAAAAAGTCTGCTGGGCGCGAAACACGCAACGCAGCACTTTAAAACAAACCCCTTTAAAAATAAGGAACTACTTTAACAAGAAAAACACAAGAAAAACATAATCACTAGTACAAGAAATCCTAATGTGCCAAAAACCCAAGACTTTTCACAGTGCTCCACTTTAACTGTGGCAACCCACCTCTTAGTTGAAGGGTAAAACTCGCCTTAATTACCACTTTAAGAAATTGGCTTGGCGATATACGCAAAATATCAAGCATCTAAAAGCAAACAAAATGTGAAATCTGTTAAAAATCATAATTTGGATGTAAAAAAACACAATTATGCGTCAAAATGCACTATTATGCCGATACTTCATAGGCCGACATTTGCAATAGTAGATTACTTGCACATGTGGTAAGTCAACAAAAATGGCCAACCAACATGGAAAGCACATGGTCATTAACAAAATGGCCACCAAACAAAAGGAGTACATGTGATTAGTCAACAAAAATGACCACCAACAGGGAAGCACATGTGTAACACTAGAATGGCCCCCCACATAGGAGACACAGTGGCAGACTCTAGCCTCACAAATTGCCTCTAACCTCATACTTAAAACAGTCGTTTGGACAGGAACATACACCTGGTCAAGTACCACTCAACAATATGCAACACACAATACATCACAATTTGGTATGATTCACAGAACAGACATAGAAACACCAACCTAATCAACACAGATCATGCGACATGTAAACAGAAAGGACGCCCTGCTGCTTGCTTGCAGGGAGCAGTTAGTAACCACAAAACATGTGCACAGACTACATACACACATAGAGTGCTTACAACAATATTATCAAGTAACTCTAAACCTTTCAGACACTGTAATAATTACCTCACGTAGGAGGGGGGTTGAGCAATGCCACCACAGTACCCTACAAACTACCCGCAAAATACTTAACCTAACACTATGCACAACAACTTTTACCCGCTAAAACATATACCCGTTTAATTTTTTGGGTATGGTAGATTTTTAAACTTTACCAAAATCCAGCCAACCAACACCCCACCCCACTGCTGCTCTCCGCCCAGAGACAAAACCCTCGTCTTTCACCCACAAATCAAGATTAGGACAAAAAACTAGGTCTTGCTAAGCGGTAATTCCTTGGGTTAGCTAACAGAGAACAAATCAGCCACAGCGAACACTCAAAAAGCGATCCTCTTAATGTCAGAGAGACCTGAAATGTTCCGCAATTACTTTTTGCTAGTTCATGATGGGGATTCCCCCCCCGTACTGGGTTGCTATGCAAAAATACCGGTTATACCACCAGGGTCGCCCAAAGCCCTTTGGGAAAATTTGCTTTAAAAAGAATTTTCCTTTTCAGTGAGTATCGCAGTTTTGGGTGCACAGAAATCCCCCATAAAGCTGTGCGAAAAATTCTTACCACGATCAGCAAACTACACATTCCTGCCCCATCCAACTACTTTTAGCTTCGTTAAATGTAGGTTGGGGCTCCGTTACCCAAAGATCAAACACACTCTCAGGATGGGTTTTCAAATTTAATAAGGGGCCCGGTTTTAGACTCAGCCCCTGGGTTTTTTTTAAAAATACACACACCCCCCAAGAAAAAGTCAATCCCCTCCCCCCCGAACAAGCAATGGGGGGGCCTATACACAGGAAAGGCTAGCCCAATCGGAAAAACATCCTATTTCTATCACGGGGCCTCCCCCATGAGCCTTCTGAGTCACAGACTCCTCCCCCCTTTCCCCCCATGAGCTTCGAGCATATTTCCTGTCCTACTAGCTTTCCCCTTGGCATCAAACCTTGTACAAGTATTCCCCCAAAACTAAACCCATCTGTACCTGGATGGGCCCGGACGATCTTTATTAAAACACATCCATCCAAGATACAGTTTCAATTTTGGGAAAAGGTTTTAAAAATATCATAAGCCTACACGTGGGGTCACACCGGGTTGGCACCTTGCGTTAAGAAGCCCCTTGGACTACTGCTGATAGTTTATAAGGCCTACGGGCTACTGCCAGCGGGATTCGCATCGAATGCCGTGGTGGAACCGCCCGGGCTATAAGCGCAGATCGCCATCTCACCATTACCAAGCTGGTACGTAAAACATCATTGTACATGCGCAGGGCCCAATTGCAGCCTTTAGAGTTTAAATTTAAACCACACAGAGACATTGAAAAACACAATAATGACACATTTTAAAATTCCCCCAACAATACAAAAAATTTTTATGACACATACTCTTTTAAATTTAACGATTAAGGTTCCCTGATAACAATTCGTGCCCCAGAACAATTTGTGCTTCCTCAGTAACAATTCTGTGTCTGCCCTCATAACAATTTTGTGCTGTCCCCATAACAATTCTGTGTCTGTCCCCAAACAATTCTTGTCCCTCAGTAACAATTCTGTGTCCCCAGAACAAAACTTTTCCCCAGTAACAATTCAGTTCCCCGAGTAACAATTTTAGTGTCTTCCCCGAGTAACAACGTGTCGCCCTGATAAAAAATTCAGTGTCGTCCCTGAGTAACAATTCAGTGTCTTCCCCGATAAAATTCGTGCTGCCCTGATAACAATTCAGTGTCGTCCCTGATAAAAATTTAGTGTCTGTCCCTGAAACAATTCGTGCCCCAAGTAACGGGTTCTGTGGCCCAAAATAACGATTCGGGCCCTAAGTAACGATTCTGGGCCCTAAGTAACGATTCTTGGGCCCCAAGAACAAAACTGTGGCCCCAATAAAGTTTTTTTTTGGCCCCAAGTAACAAAACTGTGGCCCTAAGTAACGTTTTCCGGTCCCAAAATAACGTTTTTTTGGTCCCTAACTCTTCCCTAACTCTCCCCCAATACAGAGAGGCTGCCTTCTTGAATGACTGGGGCAAATGGAGAATTCAAAAATGGCCGCCATTTTTAGCTCGACCATTACACAGTGGCTGGTGGCTGGCGGGCTGCTGATTGTAATCGATCACAGTCATAAATGAATGCTTTTGGGGTCAGCGCCCCTTGCCCTGCGCGCCTTTCCCCAGACATCCCCGCCCCGCGCCGCCATGTCGCCGCCTTTTTTTGGGAAAAAATTTCGATTCGCGCATCCGAATATCTTTTTTGGATTCGGCGAAAAATCAAATTTTTCCAATATTCGAAACGAATTCCCATTCGCCACTTCGATTCGCTCATCTCTTTTTAGGGAAATTAGTTTGACACCCGGGGTTTTAGGGCGGTGTAAGTACAATATATTGTAAATCGCTGCGAAAATTGACAGCGCTATATAAAAAAAGAAAATAGAAAAAAAAAAAAGAAAGTTGGTTTTTCTAAATTTTTTTAAAGGTATATGAATAAGTGGGGAACATAAATTTCTGCAAAAATAAAACTATCTTCATTACCATTTATTATTAGGTTTTTAAATTTTAATACACTTTTTCCCCACATTATAAATAGTAATCGTTTATATTTGCTAGTTGGAGGGTACTAACCAGGGCCTATTTACCACAAGGGATTTGCCCAGGGGCATTTTTTAGGGGGGCAACACCGTCCCCCTCCAAAAAAGGGGTGGAAGAATGACACACACAGCATGGGGGGGGGGTTGGGGTTTTTCAAGGTCTCTCCGGGAGGGGAAGGGGAAAATTTTTTTGTTGCCCAGGGGAGCACAAAAACCAAAAAACACCCCTGATACTACCATTTTGTTACCAAGCCCCTTTGGCTGATCGTAGTCCCTTACTAAACAGAATTTAAGTGCTCTAAACTACACCCCCCCCCCCCATTACTGGTGTCATTGGAAGGAATTGAGCGCCCATCACTGGTGTCAGTGGAAGGAAATTAGGCGCCAATCCACTGTGGTGTCAGTGGAAGGAATGAAGCGCCATCATTGTGGGTCGATGGTGATGAACGTTCCCCAAGGCCGTGCATTCTGCCCACTGTTCAACGGTTTGGAGATACCACCAACCCTTGCAGCAATAGGCTTTCCACTATTTTCCTCCTTTTATTTCTAAACCACTGCTCCGCTCCCCCTCTGCACAGCCCTTAATTCAAAAACATCAATAATTACAATTCACAAGAAAACAAAAAAAAAAACCTCTTAGTTATCCGTATTTTTCGCTCTCATAAAAGACGCACCTAAGGTTTTAGAGCACAAAAACAAGAAAAAAAAATATTCTGAACCAATGGACTGCGGACACAGTAACAGTGAGTGACCACATACTGCGACACAGTACAGGAGGTGACCAAAGACTGCGGACACAGTAACAGGAGGTACCAAAGACTGCGACACAGCACAGGAGGTTACCAGAGACTGCGGACACAGCACAAGAGGTGAGCAGAGACTGCGGACACAGTACAAGAGGTGAGCAGAGACTGCGGACACAGTACAAAGAGGTGAGCAGAGACTGCGGACACAGTACAGGAGGTGAGCAGAGACTGCGGACACAGTACAGGAGGTGAGCAGAGACTGCGGACACAGTACAGGAGGTGACCAGAGGCTGCGGACACAGTACAGGAGGTGACCAGAGGCTGCGGACACAGTACAGGGGATGACCAGAGACTGCGGACACAGTACAAGAGATGACCAGAGACTGCAGACACAGTACAGGAGGTGACCAGAGACTGCAGACACAGTACAGGAGGTGACCAGAGACTGCAGACACAGTACAGGAGGTGACCAGAGACTGCAGACACAGTACAGGAGATGAGCAGAGACTGCGGACACAGCACAGGGGATGACCAGAGACTGTGGACATAGTACAGGGAAAATACCAGGGACACAGTACAGATGACCAGAGACTGCAGACAGTGCAGGGAATGACCAGAGACTGCAGACAGTGCAGGGAATGACCAGAGACTGCTGACCTTTGGGGAGGGAGGGGGAGCGGGTACCTGACAGGTACAGGTACCCACTCCCACTTCCACGGCGTTGTCTTTCCCTCTTCTTCCCGCGCCGGCTTCTGTGAGAGCCGGGTGCCCACTGCGCATGCGCGAGAAGCACTGCGCTTTGTGAATGGCCCGGCGCCTTCTGGGACTTGTAATGTGTCCCAGAAAACACTGGACCATTCACAAAGCGCAGCGCATGCGCAGTGGGCACCCGGCTGTTACTGAAGCCAGCTCGGGAAGACTGTGCAGCGCTGGAGCGAGGAACAGGTAAAGCCTTGCAGGAGAGAACAGCTGAGCGGCCGACCCGGTATTCTGACATGGTGGCGGCAGAAATAGGGGACCGGCCGCTTTATATTCGCTCCATAAGACGCACTGACGTTTTCCCCCCCTTTTTTGGGGGGGAAAAAAGTGCTTTAGGGAGCAAAAAAATACGGTATGTGCTTTCTCTTGCGTTTAAAAAACCCCTCCCATTCGCTCGAAAAGTGTGCGGCACCACCCCCCCCCGCAACTCTGATAGTATCATTCAGGGCATGTGTACACCCATTACAATGGAGTAAAAAGCTACGAAAAAATGGGGGAAAACTCCCCCTAATATAGCTGTAGCATTCGAAAGTGATGTTACAGGTTTGAAAACAGCCCGGGTGAGGGAAGTTCGAAACTGTGGTCGGGTAATGGTGTGATTTTTTGAAAGGCATTGCAACAGGGATGTCCCGTACACGGGCGGGTGGTGGGGTTTTTGGTGAAGCTGCCCGGAGGGGTCCGGCTCTCCTCACATTCCCGGTAAATGTTGTGGGAAAAAGAAAAATGGTTTTTTACCCTTTATTTAAAAATGATGAAAATTTTCGTGAGACTTTAACACCCCGGGCCCCCCCGGGTGTGACTTGGCCGTGATTTGCAAATCGTAGGGGAAGTCCCACCCTATTTCCAGCAGTTAGTAGGGGTTCATATCGTTGCGGGTCTGACTGGGTCGAGCCGACACTGATTTTCTATAGTAGTACATGCAGTACTTTTCATGTGATTTACAAGATGTCTGTTCCTGATGTCTGCAAAACGCACCTGGAAATTGGCATCTCACCCACTTTGAAATCATCGGACTTTACTGTAATGTAAGATGATTTCAAAGCCAGACTTTATGTGACCATAGACTGAAAGTGTTACTATAAACCGCGGACGAACCTGCGTTGTCTGTAGCCGGCCAAATCCCGGACGCCCGCTTCTTGGGCCGCCAAATCCCGGACCCCGCGTTGTCTGTGGCCGGGCCCAAATCCCGGACCCCGCGTTTGTTCTGTGGCCGGGCCAAATCCCGGACCACCCGCGTTGTCCTGTGGCCGGTCCAAATCCCGGACCCCGCTGTTTGTCTGTGGCCCGGCCAAATCCCGGACCCCTGCGTTGTCAGTTGGCCTGGCCAAATCCCAGGACCCCGCGTTGTCTGTGGCCGGGGCCAATCCCGGACCCCGCGTTGTCTGTGGCCGGGCCAAATCCGACGGACCCCCCCGCGTTGTCTGTGGCCGGCCAAATCCCCGGACCCCGCGTTGTCTCTGTCTGGACAGTGCGATTACCCCTGTGTGATCACATGCATCCCCATGAAAAAAACCCCCTAGCAAAACCACCAAACGGGATGTGAAGTGTCTCCAAAAGTTTCATTTATCGGGAAGTGGGGGTGGGGAGGGTGGCCGGGAAAGAAGGGGAGGATCGAGAAGCAGGATCAAACAGCCTTTTTTACACAAATTTAGGGGTTTTAAACCCCCTTTTGGTTCTCAGTGATATAAAAAAGCATGCTTTATTTGCATTTTTACGGGAATGATTTTACTGTTGTGGGTTTAGAAAAAATTTTAAATTGTGTAATGAAGGAAAAAGTTTCCCTTTTTTTTTTTTTTTTTTCCCCCATTTGGATGGATTTAAAGCTGGAAATCATTTAAAAAGAAAATCAGAAAAAAATTTCTGTATGGGGGAAAGATCGGGTTGTTTTTCTGTTTATCGTTTTTACAGAAAGGCGATTCTGACCTGATATGGGGAAAAAAAGGAAGGTCCCAGGCTAGAAAGGGTTTATTGTATGTGAACAAAAATTTCAATTTTTTTTTTTATTTTTTTTTTTTTTTGCTCATTGTGTACAGTAATTGTACTGAAAATTTTTTGTTTAGAAAAAAACCCAGGCTTGATAGAAGCCAAAAAACGACCTGAAGAGGGGGGCCCAAATAAATGTATAAACCCTAAAAAAGGAAGGGGAACTTTGGGGTTTTGTCCAGAATTTGCTTTGCTTTTTTTTTTGCATTCTGGGCTTAAATCATGATACCCCCCTTTATGGAAAATCGGCGGTCTTTCATCCAATTTTTTCAGGGTTTTACCCCATTTAAAGGGGTGGGCTATAACCCTGTCATTTTTTTGAAATCTGTGTAAATTGGGGGGTTTTTCCCCCTTCCCTTTTCCCTCCCCCTTAGTCAAAAAAAAGGGAAAACTAGGTCCCCCATTGGAAGATTTCCCCTTTTTTGTGCCCTGGTGAAAACCCCAAAACATTTTGGATTTTATTTCTTTTCCCACTTTCACGATAATGGAAAGGGGGACAAATGGAGTGAATCTCCTTAAGGGGGGACCCAGACAGCAAAAAAAAACTGAAAGATGTTCAACCCCTCTCCCACTCTTATCCAAAATAAAAAAAAACAAAAATTTTGCCTTTGCTTATTCTTATAAAGGCTATTTTTTCCCTTCAGGAACATGTAACATGTTCCCCTCCTGAAGCTCCCCCACCCCTGTGACGCAGATGGGGGATTTTCTGGGTAAATTTTGAAAAGGGTTTGAAAAGCGCGGCAACTATTTTACTTTAGTCATTTAAAAGGGTTTTTGGGTTTTCCCCTTTACTGTCCCACGGGCTGCTTTTATATTTTTATTTTTTTGCGCCCCATTTGGAGTTCGTTTTCTTTTTAGATTAGATAAATACAGGAAAAAAATAAAAAATCCCAACCCATTTCAAATTTTAAAAAACCCAGAGGGGTTTAATAAAGGTTGGCCCAAAACGCGAAAACCACCCCTCCCCCCCCCCCCCCCCCCCCCCCCCCCCCCCCCCCCCCCCCCCCCCCCCCCCCCCCCCCGCCCCCCCCCCCCCCCCCCACCCCCCCCCCCCCCCCCCCCTTTTGTTTTTGGTTTTGAAACCTCTCCCTTTGGCTATGTTGTACAGAGGGTTTGTGGTCTACATTGCCCCCGGAAAAGTGTTTGATTTTTGGGTTGGGGCCCGGGGACTGCCCTTGCGACCCCAGCGCTCTTTTACCGTGCAATCTGCAAATTTTTCCCCAGATGTCGCTAGGCTCTGCCAACCCACCCGAAACCCCTGCTGAGCTCTGCGGGTTCCCCAATGTGGATTTTGTATGCTATCTGATCTATAAATGTGAGTGCTTCCCCCCCCCCCTTTTTTAAATCCCTTAATGGAGGCCCACTTGCTGTGTTTTTTTTTTTTTTTTCTTTTTTCTTCTTTTGGCCCAAAATTTGTTTAGGTAGGGGGTACATGTAAGTAACATCCTTTTTAAATAGCAGGACCCAAATTTTCCCCAGCAAAAACTTTTGCCCAAAGCGTCACATTCCCTCCCCAGCTTGCTTTCTTCCCACCCGGGGAAAACCATTTTAAAATCCAGGTAGGACCCCACACAGATATAAAAAAAAAACCTGATTAATCTGTTTTTGGACCTTTTGAAATTATGTAAAAAAAACATGACTTTATCTGACAGCAAAAAAGTTTTAGCCGTTTTTAAAGGGGTTTAAAATTGTTTTGGGTTAAAAAATTTTCGAATGACCATTCATTTAAGAAATGAAAATTGATTGGTAAAGGGATTTTTTTTTTCTAGGGGCCCAATATACTATTTAAAATTTTACAGGTGGTCAAACATTATTTAGACTTCCATGGCGGGTTAAACAATACAAGGTCGGGGAACTTGGCAATAGAGGAACCAAACTAAATTGTCTGAGAGCTCACAAAAAACCTTGTGTAATGAAACAAAAAAACCTCTCAAAAACTATCCCCCAATATGCTATTATCCACAAATTTTTTGA